TTTGACATGGTATTTTGACCCCCCCCCCCCCCCCTTCCATGGTATATTGAACCCCCAACTATAGACCTTTAATTTCAAAAAATCTAGCAATTCTAACTCTTGAATATAGTTATAATACTCCAATAAGCACTTTGTATGTATTTTACTTTCTTGAAAAGATGTTTTGAAAATATGATTTAGCCACGGTATTTTGACAACCCTGCAATGGTATTTTGACCCCCCCCCCCCTTTACACCTCCAATTTCAAAAATTCTAGCTATTTTAACTCTGTTACATAGTAATAATACTCCAATATGTAGTTTGTATGTATTGAACTTGCTGGAAAAGATATTTTGAAAATTTTACTTTGCCATGGTATTTTGACCCCCCTACCATAGACCTTTAATTTCTAAAATTCTAGCAATTCTAACTCCTGTATATAGTAATAATACTCCAATAAGTGGTTTGTATGTATTTAACATGCTGGAAAAGATGTTTTGAAAGTTTTACTTTTAGAATTCAACTGAGCCATGGTAATTTGACCCCCTCCCCCTTTTTTACCATGGAAAATTAAAATTACCTGTTTATATATAAATATATATATGTTTTAATTTCAAATAATTAAAGCCTTCAAGCTACATGGTCTAGTTATAATGCTTCAATAAGTATTTTGAATGAAATTTTGTTGGTAAAGACTTCAGAGCACTTATACCAAGCAAAGATATTTCTTTTAACCAATCATGGAAAATTGACCTCCCCTTCTTGAATGAATGAATTTTAATCTATGATAAGCTTTAGAATAATGAATAATGTTCTAATAATCATCTGAATGAAAAAAACAGGGGGGTTCAATTTACCATGGGGGTCAATTTTTCATACAGGGGGGGGTTCAATTTACCATAGCGGTATTTTGACCCCTGGGTCAATTTACCATGGAGTTCAAAACACCATATGACACCAGTACCAGAGGAAAAAAAGGTCAGACAAGTATGGCAAAAACTAACATGGCCCAATGGGCAAAGTAAGTTAATGATGGCAAAAACTAACATGGCCCAATGGGCAAAAAATGCGAATGATGGCAAAAACTAACATGGCCCAATGGGCAAAGTAAGTCAATGATGGCAAAAACTAACATGGCCCAATGGGCAAAATAAGCCATGATGGCAAAAACTAACATGGCCCAATGGGCAAAGTAATCCAATGATGGCAAAAACTAACATGGCACAATGGGCAAAGTAAGTCAATGATGGCAAAAACTAGCATGGCCCAATGGGCAAAGTAAGCCAATGATGGCAAAAACTAACATGGCCCAATAGGCAAAATAAGCCAACGATGGCAAAAACTAGCATGGCCCAATGTGCAAAGTAAGCCAATGATATCAAAAACTAACATGGCCCAATGGGCAAAGTAAGTCAATGATGGCAAAAACTAACATGGCCCAGTGGGCAAAATAAGCCAATGATGGCAAAAACTAACATGGACCAATGGGCAAAGTAAGCCAAAATTGTTTCCCTAATTTCAAATTTTAAATTTACTGTTCATAGATCTAATGATTATGGGATCAAAACTTTACCTCAAGATGAGGTCCTCTGAAGTATGTTATCTGTTCAGGTCCTCTGTACACAGGTTCTGGGAAGAAAATCATCTGCACTGAAATATCAAAAGAAATAATCATAGCACTGTATGTGCTGTAAGGCAGCCACTCTGACTTGATCATAAAAAGCAGTTTATCCATTCATGTATTCATAACATCCAATCATCATTTTACAAATGCTCTATTCAAAGTATTAAAAAGGTTACCTGCACCATCGTTAGACAGTCTCTTACTTTTGTTAATTCAATTCTAACGAATAAAAAATGTTTACTATTCTAAATGAATCATAATCAACAGGAGTAAAGTTAAGATATCAAAGGGATATCCATAGTTCATAAGTTGAAGAGAAACTAACAAGATGGCAAACAAACTTGTAAGTGACTTCTTTGTCATATTTTTACATAAATAATTACTGAGATTGAAATTAGTCCCTCTTTGTATTCTGTTTGAACTTAATTCTATTCACAGGCATTATCAGTTTTGTTTGAAAACTTAACTAGAGGCTCTCAAGAGCCTGTGTCGCTCACCTGTATCTACTGTGGGTTTGGAAATCATGTAAAATAAGGTTAAATCATAATAAATAGTATCAGATACCCTAGTAATGAATGAGGCCAAGTTTGGTTTAATTCGGCCCAGTAGTTAAATTTAAAGCAGGTCATCCCATCATAGTTTTACAATAGTAACTGAAGACATCCCATCATGGTTTTACAATAGTAACTGAAGACCCCTTATCATTATTTAAATAAGTTTTCAAGTTGTGACCATTTGAAATTGTTTTTTTACAATTTTCCCAAAGACTTCTATAGTAAACCCCTATGTTCTATTTTTAGCCATGGTGGCCATGTTGGTTGGATGACAGGGATATATTTTTCAAAATTGTGGCTAAGTTTAATTCTATTTGGCCCAGTAGATTGAGTGGAGAAGATTTTTATAAAAGATAACAAAAAAATTTATGAAAAATTGCTATCAATTGACTTTAAAGGGCAATAACTCCTGAAGGGGTCAATTGACAATTTTGATCATGTAACTTGTTTGTAGAGCTTACTTTGCTGAACATTTTTGCTGTTTACAGTTTATCTCTATCTATTATAATATTCAAGATAATAACCAAAAACTGCAAAATTTCCTTAAAATTATCAATTCAGGGCCAGCAACCCAACAACAGGTTGTCTGAAACATCTGAAAATTTCAGTGCAGATAGATCTTGACCTGATGAACATTTTACCTCATGTCAGATTTGCTCTAAATGCTTTAGTTTTAGTAGATATAAGTCAAAAACTGCATTTTACTCCCATGTTCTATTTTTAGCCATGGCTGCCATCTTGGTTGATGGGAGGGGTAATCGGATACAATTTTTAAACTAGATACCCTAAGGATGATTTAGGCCAAGTTTGGTTTTATTTGGCCCAGTAGTTTCAGAGGAGAAGATTTTTGTAAAAGTTAACTTTTGGGCCAGGTGAGCCAAAAAGTTAAGCAGAATATTAGTAAGAATCATGCCACTCTGGTGAAATAGAAGTTTATGGATGGTTTCATCACTTTCAAATATATCCTATTTAGAATCCAGCTTAGCAATTAGCTCAGTTATCTATGAAGAAAATGCTTAACCATCAATAAAATTACAACAGAAACTACTCAAGTGTTTTTGTGTCTAGGGTGTCATCATATTTGTTATACAATAAATCTTCCTAGACAATAATGTGAGAAATTAATGAGTCTGGGCAGTCTTACACCCATGGTACAATATAGGGCTTAAATCTAGCTCTCCTCTTATCTATTTCCAATTACATAAATTGTTTGTTTTAACTGCCCAGTTGACAGCATCTATTAATCTCCTGCTGATAACCATATTATAATTAGGTGAGGCTTTATGTAATTCTATACAGTCAATGATACATATGTATTGCTAAGTTTGTTTATATTTTTCACATGGTGATTTCTAATGTTTAAAACAAAGAAAAGAATCGGAATGTTTATATGAAGTCTGATATGAAGTTCCAGTTATGAAGAAGAAAAGAAAGAAATACAGATATTTTGTAAGTTATTAATAATTATTGACATTATATGTAAATCAATAAATGAATATAAATAAAACTTTAAAGATGAATTCTTATACTAAAGGAATGGTTCCCCCTTTTCGATAATAGTATTCCCCAAACATATTTTCACTTTGTAAAGGGTACTTGTTCTTGACTTTGTGATACATCAATAGTAGTAGTTTATACATGCTGCTCATCTATTCCTATTTTCCACTATTTTTTTTATTTTGAAGGCAGCATATATGTAAATAAAATACTTGTAATATAGATATAAAAATAAAATATAAACAAAATAAAAGAGGCGTCCTCTCCACAAGCATTTTCCTCATGAGTATATCTTATATATATGTAACACTCAGAAACGTGTCCATCCCCCCCAAACGTGTCCGATTCCCCCAAACGTGTCCATATGACATCACTGAACTGAAAACATGTCTAGGTGCTAAAGGGCGCCAAAACGTGTCTCTTTTCATTAGAACGCCCAATTGTGTCCATTTTTTTTTGAACGCCCAAGCGTGTCAATTTCCCCAAACGTGTCCATATAAAGCATAAACGTCTCCCTTTTGTGACCGCTCAATCTTGACCATATTTTTAAATGCCCATTTAATTAAGTTGATTGTTTGCCTAAAATAACAACAAGAGTGCACACGCTGAAATGTCTCGCCTTCTTTACTAATCATTGATATTATGTTGATAGTCCTAAATATAAAGCTTTATTACAACTGTCACATAAACTTAACATTAACCAAGTAAACTAAACATTGACCAATGAACCATGAAAATGAGGTCAAGGTCAGATGAACCATGCTAGGCAGGCATGTACAGCTAACAATTCTTCCATACAACAAAAATAGTTGACCTATTGCTTATAGTTTAAGAAAAACAGACGAAAACACAAAAACTTAACACTGAGCAATGAACCTTGAAAATGAGGTCAAGGTCAAATAAAACCTGCGTAACTGACATATAGATCATAAAATATTTCCATACACCAAATATAGTTGAACTATTGCATATAGTATTAGAAAAAAAGACCAAAACTCAAAAACTTAACTCTGACCACTGAACCATGAAAATGAGGTCAAGGTAAGATGACACCTGCCAGCTAGACATGTACACCTTACAATCATTCCATACACCAAATAAAGCTGACCTATTGCATGCAGTATTAGAAAGAAAGACCAAAACTCAAAAACTTAACTTTGACCACTGAACCATGAAAATGAGGTCAAGGTCAGATGACACCTGCCAGCTAGACATGTACACCTTACAATCATTCCATACACCAAATATAGTAGACCTATTGCATACAGTATAAGAAAAACAGACCAAAACACAAAAACTTAACTATAACCACTGAACCATGAAAATGAGGTCAAGGTCAGATGACACCTGCCAGTTGGACATGTACACCTTACAGTCCTTCCATACACCGAATATACTAGACCTATTGCTTATAGTATCTGAGATATGGACTTGACCACGAAAACTTAACCTCGTTCACTGATCCATGAAATGAGGTCGAGGTCAAGTGAAAACTGTCTGACGGGCATGAGGACCTTGCAAGGTACGCACATACCAAATATAGTTATCCTATTACTTATAATAAGAGAGAATTTAACATTACAAAAAATCTGAACTTTTTTTTCAAGTAGTCACTGAACCATGAAAATGAGGTCAAGGACATTGGACATGTGACTGACGGAAACTTCGTAACATGAGGCATCCATATACAAAGTATGAAGCATCCATGTCTTCCATCTTCTAAAATATAAAGCTTTTAAGAAGTTAGCTAACGCCGCCGCCGCCGGATCGCTATCCCTATGTCGAGCTTTCTGCGACAAAAGTCGCAGGCTCGACAATAACATGTCCACCAATATTAAATATATAATTTTGTTAAACAACAAATTTGAAAATTACACTTTCATTTACGTATATACTCCTTTTATTCTTTCATCTGTTGTCCTGCCCCCAAGTGTAACTGGAGAATAGAGATATGGTCAATTAGGTCTTCCTCCAACAGACAGTAAAACCCTTGCCAAAGTGGGGCGTCTGTTTGGCTGTGCGGGATGTAAAAGTACGATGCCATGTCCGGTCAAAATAAGGATGTTAAATCCGAAACCTTGTGTATGGAAAGTGACTTTATTATAGACCTACTTATTGTATCTAGTGTTAATATGTTCTCGTCCTGAATCAACATAAAATATTTGCCACTGGACGTTAACCAACCAACAGTCAATCAATTTATTGTCTGAAATATGCATGAAAAAATTGCCACAAAACGTTAAGCAAGCAACAATCAGTTAACTTCTTTCACAATTGAAAACTACAAAAATAAAACTAAATACCAGTACACACTTTGAAGAGCTGATTAAAGAATCCGTGATATCTCTTCAAACATCATTAATATGCATGTAGTTAGACATCAGCGGAGTATATTAGTACAAAAGAATTCACTAAGTAAACTATAAATTTAACCGTACAAAACTAATTAATTGCAATTTTCAAGTTTTCTCTAAATATGCATGGAATATTTGCCACTGGACATTAAGCAATCAACGGTCAAGAATTAATGTATATGTTGCAAATCAAACTTGCAATTATGCTAAATATAAACAACTGGCGTTGAACAAACTAATGCTATAAAAACGTTTGGGACATATTAGCGCTAAAAGCTTTGAGACGTTCTGGCGTTTAAAACGACACGTTTTGGCGAATAACAATTATCGGACACGTTTGGGGGATGTGAAATCGGACACGTTTCGGCGATTTGGGATTTCAAGGACACGTTTGGGCGAAATAGACACGTTTGGGGGAATCGGACACGTTTGGGGGATGGACACGTTTGGGAGTGTTACATATATATATATATTTGGGGTCCTTTATAGCTTGCTATATTGTTTGGTGTGAGCCAAGGCTCTGTGTTGAAAACCGTACTTCGACCTACAATGGTTTTTCTTTTACAAATTGTGACTTTGATGGAGAGTTGTCTCATTGGCACTCATACCACATCTTGTCAT